AGTTCACATCGCGCATAACAGAGAAGTCTGCATAGTTGACTGCGTAACAATTCTGATAAAAAGTACGGCTGAATGAGCGTTTGAGCTGGCATCTGAAAAACGAACTAAGTCTAAACTGTATCCATCGAAGAAACAAAGTAAAATCAAACATATACACCCGTATTGCACGTGATCAAGAACTTAACCGTAGGAGACGCTACAGGGCCGTATCAAGCTATTGTGACTGATCTATCAAAAAATGTCGTACAAGATATGTGTTGCTGTAAATTCTATCAAAAGCATAGTAAATTATCAGGAATATACCACGCCTTTCTAATCATATTTCGACATTAGGAATCAGTGCAAAAAATTCTGTATTCACCATTTCAGCAAAATGTTACTAAAACGCACACGAAAAAAACTTGTGGACCATCTCAATTGAAATTGTTCATATTTTATTATTAACTTACATATATACCCAATAATATTTACAAATCAACCTTCTATTCACAATGCAGAGCAAATTTTTTTGAGCAAATAGAAACTACAGACGTAGTAGTAGTAGTACAAAAGTTTATTACAGACTCCATAAAGTTTGTTAGTTTGATTGCTATTAAAATTTACATGAGAAATAGGAAGAAGGTCAAAATGGCACTATTATGCTTTGGAACTCCTAAATTAACCCTAATTTTGTGTAATTATAAATTTGGAATTTCCACATTAATAACTAGAAACTTACACTTTGATTGCAGTCTATAATGAACTTACCTGTCTTGCCAAAAAGCCCGTTAAACTGCCAGTCTTAATGGTATCAATTGATTTATATGCTGTATTCCGAGGAGCTTGAATCATCAGAATTGTTGATGTCAATTATAAGGGGTTCAACTTGGGTGTCAATGATATTGTCCATATCCCACATTTTGGTTTCAACCTTCTCTTGGACATGGTCAATACATGTTCTCCACTTTGCTGGCGTAATTCTATCGACAGCAACATCAAACAGTTTTTTAAGGTCAGAAAACTTAAAAGTGCTGTTATTTGACGCCACGTATTGCTTGATGTCGGCCCAAATCAACTCGATAGGATTCAGTTCGCAGTGATAGGGAGGCAGCCTGAGAATCGTTTTATTTTGGTTTTTGGCCATTTCGTCAACAATTTTTAAATCATATTTATACTTATGTCGCTTGACTATATTTATCAGTTCAGCTTTGACCATTGTTTGGTCGAAGTCGATCTTCTTTGAGACAATCCACTGTTGAATGTCTGCCTTTTTGGTGGCCATTGTTGGAATTTTTTCCAATTTTCTGGAGTGGTACGGGGCATTATCCATCACAATAATTGCGTTATCATCAAGTGTCGGCAAAATTTTTTTGAACCAATTTTCAAATAAGTTACCATCCATTTCTTCGTGATAGTCTCCAGTTTTTTTGGATTCAAATGCCCACAATGCTTCAGGAACAAATCCATCTACGCTACCTATGTGGCAAATGATCAGGCGTTTTCCCTTGCCTGAAAGTAATTAGTTATTTTACTTCTCAGCGAGCGCACTAAATGACGAAATTAAGCAACTTACTCTTTTTAGGTTAGTGTAGGACAGGGTCTTAGATTAGTTTTTGGGTGAAGGAAATACTCAGAAACTTGGATGAGATAGCAAAACTGAGTTCGGAGCTTCCAAATCATTGATTCGATCAGAAAATGAATTATCTGCATCCAAAAAAGTTCATATACTTCGAAACTTACCTGCAGGATTTTTCAATCCCGTCGAAAGGCCATCTAAAAAAGCCTGCCTTGAGGACCTCACAGATCTGTCTACCCAAACCTTTCCCTGCGTATGCCCCGCGTTCACCCATGTTTCGTCTAAATAATAAATTTTTCTTCCTTCAGCGCGGAATTGCCTAATTTCTCCTCCAGATAACAATTTCCTCCTTTTCTATCAATAAACTATTCCTTCCTCTTTTCAAAAATCGAAAGTCTAGTTCTTTCAACAGCTTATGGAACGTAGATCTTTTAAAATTTGGCAGGTCCTCATCATCATTCACTTGCTTCAATATTTTATCTATTGTAGGTATTTCATTCCTGAAGAAAAAGTGATGTACTTTTCTTCTAATGGCACTTTTGTCAAAGTCATCTATTTTTTCGATGATTTTTTTTCTTGCTGGATATGTTTTTGGCTCAGATAGTGAGTGATTTTGACTATATTCCTTCAAGATTTTGTAAACACTTGATCGACCTACTCCAGAAATTTCAGCAACCTTACATACGATATTTTCTATAGCCAATCCACTATTCTCTTGCATCTGGTTCTTGTAGATATTTAGAATAATTTGTTTTTCACCTGCGCTAAGATGAAGCTTTTTAGCCCTTTTTCTGGGTGACGTTAAGCTGATTTCAACCACTTCATCAGCTGTATCTGTGTCAGACATTTTAGACTAATATTAAATTTCCGCAAGAAAAATCAAGTCAAGACGTGCATAAAACGTTCGCGCTCATAAACGGGTATCCGTAACTGATTACAATCCTGTGCGTGGTGACGAACCATCAACGTGACGCTGAGAGTTCCCTCTACTATGCAGCGTTGCCAGGCTTAATGTCACAATGATCATGTTTTATTAGGAAAGTTGTCAGAAATCGCCGAATGTTGAACAGAAACATTACAAGAAGTCTAACCTTGAAATGTGAGGCTACAAATCGATATTCTTATAGGGGGGAAGGGTAGGGAGCTGTTATGGTTCCTATTAACCTTGGTGAAAGTTGGAAACGGTAATATCATATATGGTTGAAGGTGTGTGCACGGAAAATAGATTGCGGATAGGATTTTAATAGATACATCTGCACAAAAAAACACAAAAGGAGATTTTTGTATTTCCCTGAAGAATATCTCAAGGTTATTTCAGATGTACTCATCGAAACTTTATGGAAGGATTATCGAAACCTTATTTTCAATTGCGATAGGGCCACATACCTCGACATCGCATTAATGTGAAAAATAAGACAATAGAAAAAAATTCCCACACTGATGCTATCTCTTAGGAAAAATTTAACTATAAAGATTGCACAAAAATTTTCTTCACCTTTTTGAGCTTGTTTTCGAATCTCCGTATATGCCGTTCATAATTTGCTGCAGATCAAATTGGAATATACCTTTGTGATGCCATTTATTGTTATATAATGTCCTTTACAACAGTTATTGCACGTATTGCACCAACTGATTGATTTGTGATCCATGCGAATGTGATCAACCACTCTGGCGAAAACTCGCCGAGCGTGGCAACCGTGCGACTTTGTCTGGAGGCTCGTCGCTACAAGCCAATCAGGAAGAGGCCGACAGAGCGCCATGGCTACCGATCACGCGTTGATCACGAATCAACCACTGTTTACGATTACTTTGTAGCTTCGTTAGATACACTATATGTGGTTATACTGTTTAGGTAAAACTAAGCGGGGTATAGATATATCTGATAAACAGGGTAATTGTTGTTTGTACTATGTAACCATAAATTGAGTATAATATATATATTTCACTGAGTAAACTTCTTTTCGTACACAGTACCTTCCGCGGATTGACAGAGTAAAAAAATATATCAGCGGAGGGATTCCATTTTAATCGTAATATCTTGATACTAGCGTTTGCTTCAGTGTCAAAAGAAAAAGCGTAGTTTGATGATTGGCACTCAAGCGGTAAATTATTTAAAAATTCTTTGCTGTTGCTAGACCATTTATGCAGCTTGAAACATCCTTTTGAAAGACAATCAATTAAATCTTGTTGCAGAGCTAAAGCTTCATCTAAATCAGCACATCCCGTGCAAATGTCATCGACGAATATATCATTCAGTAAAACCTTAGAAGCCAATGGATGATCGTTCTCTTAATGCTTTGGTAAGTGCTGGATAGTTTTTAAAGCTAAATAAGGCGAGCAACTAATGCCAAAACTGACAATATTCATAACGTACTCTCAAGCTGAGAGTCTGGCGAAAATCTCCATAAGACTTTATGAAAGCGTCTTTGCGACGGGTTAATTAAAATTTGCAAATACATTGACTTAATGTCAGCGGTTATAGCGATTTGCGGCAATCTAAAATGCAGAAGAATATGACTAATATCCTTCTGGAGTTTAGGACCTGACATAAGTGTGTCATTTAGCGAAAACTGATTAGAATCCTTACAACTAGCATCGAAAGCCACTCTTAATTTTGTGGGAGTTGATTCCGGTTTAAACACGTAATGATGCGGTATGAAATATTCATTAAGCGAAGAATAATCGATGTTATCAGATAAACATTGTCTGTCATGTTTTGAATAGAATTTTTATAAAGATCGTACAATTTTTATCAGCTAAAAGGCGTTTTTCTAGAGAAAAAAATCTTCGACGAGCTATTTGCTTGCTGTCATGAGAGATAGGTCCCTCGTCTTTACGATGGTACAACATACTTCCTGATGTTTTCCGAAAAGTTGTTTTTTCATAAATTTGTTCGCATTTTAATTCGTCAGCAAACAAGTATGAGCGATGTGGAACCGATTCTATTTCCCAGAAACGTTGTAAAGAGTCATTAAGCGAGTTCAGAGTAAAAAAAGAGTTTTTTCTCACACATTCCTGAAAATCGAATTGTCCCATGAAAATATATCCAAAAGATGTATGTATTGATTGCTCGAGGTAAATTGCTCTGAGAGGAATCAATGTGTCCATCAATAAGAATGCGTTGGAAGAAATCTGCATTCAAAATTAATTCAATTGGTTGAGAAATGAAGAATTCCGGGTCACTGCATTCCTTGATATGAGACCATTCTGTCACATCAATCGTAGTAGAAGGCATATTACCACAAATTTTATCCAAGACAATAGCATCGAGCTTTAAAGTAGGCTGCGATTTATTTAGAAGGGTAACAGTAACCGAGATTTTTCCTAAATTATTATACATTTCCATACCTCCTAACCCGTAAATAGTAACAGCACTCTTTTTTCTCGGTAAAGCTAGTTTTTCTGCTCATTCAAGCACTGATTAATGGATATCTATAAACTGCAAATGACTATAAGAGGAAGCATAGAAGACACATTATCTGATGAATCCAACACAGAATTACCGAATAACGATAACGACGAAGGTACCAATAGTTTGACAAATAACATAGATGGACCAATAAATCAGCCAGAAAATGACGGTGGGCAAGAAGATCTACTTAGGGGTATTTAGGTAATCAATTACTAATAATAATGATGATGATGATAATAATAATAATAACAATAGTAATAATTAATTTTTTTGTTTCAGAGAAAATGAAGCTCTATTAAAATCAATAAGGCAACATCGCTCTGAAAGCGTTAACAGCTTAAAAGAGCAGGCAGCAGAAATGTTGCTACAAAGCTGCTCCAAATTTCCCAAAATTGAAACTGGATTTTAGTTAACACTCCTGATGTCGACACAGGACGCTTAGCTCATCGTAATGTTTTGGCTCTCGTATTATCTGAAAAAGGGGGTTTGTACAAACTAGGAACATCAACTTGTGTTTTGAAAAACTATATGCAAGGAATGAAGTTCAGGTTATTATTTAAATAATTATTGGCTTTATAAGTGTTTTTTATTATTTTTTTCTTTTTCAGCCTCTCAAAGGAAAACTCTGACATCATCAGATGTACCCATATAAAATTTAGTTTACAATTGTCGAAAACAATGTGGTGACAAAAAATGCAAATGTGTAATAAATGAGATTAAATGTAATAGTAAATGTCATTCAAGTACTTCTTGTCGCAATAAATAATAATATAAAAGTTACGTTAACTCTATAATCCATATGTGTTTTGAATTTAAATTAATCACCTTTTCCCGTTCGGCATCGGCTTAGGATGTATATAGCCATTTCGGGATGTATCTAAATCATGTTATCCAGGTGCCGAGTTGTATCTCTCGTTCGGCATCTGACGCATACAGTATGGATGGACATAACATATAACGATATGTCCAATTATATCCGCCCGTGGCCGAATTTGCCGTCTGTGTCCAACACATACGCACTCAAACAGTCGAGAGGCGTAGATTTGGGTTGTTTGTGATTAGGAACGCACATCCTCATTCCTTACTCCGCTTGCCCTGAATCGATTTTCGTGCTTACAGAATGTACAGACTGGTAGATTACCGTCATTACCGCATCACCGTGCAACCAATAAAGAAAACGAAACCTGTCTCTTTCCATCCCTGTACCGAACTCAACGACACTATTTACCGATTCCGTTTTTGTTCCGGTTCGACACACTGAAGACTGCAGATCACTTCAAAAGCAATTATTGATATCTCAGAGGTGTTATAATAATAAAAATAACAAGAAAATATAATAAGTTTTACAGATATATTTTCCTAAATAGGTATTTTTGATCCTGACTTACAATATCTAGACCAGGGCTGTCCAACTTAATGTGGCCCAAGGGCCACTTCAAAAAAAAAATGCAGTATGGACGGCCGCATTATAAAATCTTTCTATACAACATTATTACTGAGTTTTCATAGGTATATACTATACTATATTTGAGAGTAATTTATACACGTGATGTATACATGTCCCATGAGGCGTGCCGCAAGAAAGGAGTTCGCGGGCCGTATGTTGGACAGCCCTGATCTAGACGATGAATAATAGGTGGATGCGGATACATTTACAAATATCGATGTTTTAGGATCCAGAAATGCAGAATGTGCTGTTTATTTACAGTTGGTGTGGATTTCTAGATCATAAATTGGCAAAACGTTATTTTTGATGTAACAAAAGATGATAAACCAGTTGGAATACGTTTCATATCCTTTTTTTCTCAAAATAAAAAAAAAATCGGTACATTTCTACAGGTACGTATTATGTTCAGCACCCTGTACGGGATATAGGGACACAACTAGATTGCCATACATGGACAGTGGTCAAAAACAGTAAAAACATCCTATTATATAGAATAGCTAGAAAATTTCTGTGAAAAAAATCTATCTTTATTTCTAAAAATCCGAAAACAGCATTACTTAACCGTCTTGGTTCTTTGATTAAGTCTTTAACTTGCAATATGGATAATGAAGACGCAAAAAAATACACTGCAGCATCTCTGAGTTCGAATCTAGCCAAAACAAAATTGTCCGAAAAATAAATAAGGCATTTTTCTTTAAACCCCGAATTGGTAGGTTATGTCAACAAAGCTGTTACGACAGTAATCGATAACCAAAAATTAATGTCAGATACAATTGAGTTCTGTCTTATCATTTTTAAAACGCTATCAGTTTTGCAAGTCTTGGGACTTTGCATCATAGTATTGTCTCCTAAGCGGCTCGAAAAAACAATTACTTTATTATCGCAATCACATAATCATCTTCAATTATGTACCGTTCTCAAATTTTTTTGAACTATTGTGACTTAGTCAAAACCAATGTGATTTTGACAAATGATAGATTGCTTTTCTCATTAGATTTTCCGCTAGCGCATCCCGACAAATTCGTCGTTTTGATTTATTTCCTGTTCCGAAAGCGAATACAATTCTCGGTGATGGTCCCGACCGCATCCCGCACAGGTATTATGTAAAAAACCTATAAAACGTCAAAAAAACCTTGCTCACTAGGATCATTGTAAGCGTCCATCTATGGAGGAATAAGTCAACTCAACTACTTGCATTATTGGTTGCATATGTTTTGCGAAGCCAAGCAAGCTGTAGTTCTCATCTCCGAGAAGAAAGTTGGTTGAATAGCAAGATCGCATCTGAATGATATGTATATTGGCCTACATGTGTATAAAATCAGTGATATTTGCTGTGTGAGAAACAGATTCAACTTACAGCTTAGACCTTCAGTAATGCCATATCTGAAGCAGATTTTACAACACATCAGAGCCAAACATTGATAACTGAAGCCTCATGACGTTTAGGCAACACGTACAACCAAGTCCTAAGTTAACATCTTGTATAAAAGCTTAAATAATGTCACAAAAAACCAATACAATGTCAAAAAAATCGGCATATATCACTTTTCAAGATACTTGATACCCGCATCGTATATATCGCTCTAAAGAAGTTTTGATAATTCAACCAGTTCAATGAGATAAGTTTCCGATAATCTTGGTTCCAAAATAGTGTTAGTAAATAGTTCGTTCGTTGTGGAAGAAAGCTCACTGTAAGTACTATTACGTCCAAGATATATAATAATAAACGTCGGTCAGTTGCGCGGAGGAATTCGCCCAATTTGTGGTTCCAATAGCGAGGGCAGCCCGGCCTTAGCTTCCTTGACTTATCTAGAGATGCCAAACTTTTTAGGTAATCATGACTGATGAGACGAGCGGTACTCAAACACCCTCCTAACCATCCATCATATTCTAATGCGCTCGCACAATCATCAACTATGAAGATTCCATGCAAAGATCAAGCAATTCTCATCACCTATCTAGATGGCATCGAACTACAAGACTACATTGCAGCTATTGGCTCTTTAGCTCAACAAAAAAAAAATACTATTGTGCTTCTAGGATATCAAACAACCACATTTGTATATACTTAACTACAACTGACAATCGACCATCCCATCGTAGACCATAAATCAATTAAAATAATCGAAATAAGACTTGTTACACCAGCTCAAAGCCTCGGTATCTCCATCATCAATCAATCTATCCATCACAAATATCAAAATAGAAAACCTACTGAAATACCTTAACTTAAACTTCATCTCGCGTATCACCCCTTTGTATCCTCAGCTTCCGACGAATAGTTTTTATCGCTCCGCCCACCACAGCTATCCTAGACTCTCTAACTGTTACGCATGATGGCAATATATGATAGAATATTTCTGTTAATGCGTCCATTAAAATGCATCCATTCATGACTTTTAACCTCCTACCGCCCCCATACAAGCAGAACAAACAACAGAAGCCAACACCAATGTATAACTTATCAAGCAAACAGGAAAAAGGCAACCATCAATATCACCCGACGTGGCTCAGGACATCTAAAACTTTTTCCCACTCCCTACAATCCAACCTCTTAAAAAGAAAGCTACGACCCGCACACAGGACCTCCTACAAAATGCAAAGGGATTTATAGGTCAACAATACTTAAAGATAAATCTAAAACTAACAAAAGTTGCTGACTTGATAGACAACGCTCACGCCTCCGAAGACATTGCTGGAACGATGAAAAACTACACTATGAGATTCTCATATTTCTCAAACAGTTGTACCGTAAATTGATGATAAAGGCATTGAAATAAAGATCACAGAAATCAGAAAGATGTGCAAAAGAACTCGAGACGTCTGATGACAGCGGTTCTTCTCAATCCTCTCAGTCCACCCAAAATTAACCCTACTGCAATATATTCATTAGTCTCACAGTATTCTTGATTTAGTGGAATTGCAACGGATACTATCTTTACAGAGAAATGCCGAGCCTCCTTATCTCTGAACACAATCCTCTCGGAATGTGTCTCCAGAAAACACACACCAAGAGTATTCATTCTACAAGTCCCCCATAAATTACCCTTCTTCAGAAGAGATAGAGCCAGCGGCGGTATATCCATCTTTAAGAAAGTGAGTTTAACAGCAAAAGAAATTCCAGTATCTACAAATCTTGAAGCCATAGCCATATCTCTTGACCATCACACTATTATAAATATATGTAATATTTATATTCCACATCTCAAAGATATATCCATCCTCATAGATCAGGTCCCCAATCCAAGAATAATTGTTGGAAACCTGAACAGCCATAAGGTCAGATAGGGATCCAATTTCTCAGACAACAGTGGTTTACAAATAGAAAAAATTGCTGACACAACAATAATCTAATACTCCTGAATAATGAACACAAAGCCAGGTTCAATGCATATAACGGTTCATTTTCTGCCATAGACTTAACTTTCAGTGAGCCAAGCTTAGCTCCCTATCTGACTTGGGACATTAATATCGCAGTACACGGATTCAGCAAAATAATAGAAAGAGCAGCTCTCTCTGCCGTAGGGAAAGCGGAACCTTGTAAGTTCAAACGTTACGTACCAGGGTGGAACACGATCATCTCCAATGCTCCGAAAACTAGTAAACATGCATTGAAAAATGCCGCACTCCGGAAAGCCTTGCAAATTTTAAAAAACTGGGAGCAAAGGCTATTTATTATATACTGAGTAACAAAAAAAAGGTAAACACCTACGTATGTTTATAAGAATTCAATAATTTTTTACGTATCGATTTATTTTGCCATGAACAAGTGATAAAATGATCAGGTTTTTCTGTTAAGTTTTTGTGGTAGCTGCGTGTATTATTTGGTGTTAAAGAAGCATTCAGTTTTCGTACATTTACGGTCTCAGTTAAATGTTAAATTTCGTGTAGCTTATTGGGAAGCCTTTTTGTGATTGCTTAAAATGCCTAGAGCGGATAATATCCTCCAGGTGTCCCAGCTAAGTGACTTTGAGGGGGGTCGAATTGTCGGGTTACTCGAGGCGGATATATCTAAGAGGACCAACAGATCCTTACGCAGTATACTTGCAGTGTGAACGGACAAGAGTGAGAAGGCGACGTGGTGAAAGACGTGGCCCACAATTTGATAGAGAGCATCATGGTCACCACACCGTGGGAGTTATGGTATGAGATGCTGTTGCTCATGGTAGCAGATCAACACTAATTTCCATCAGAGGCAGTATGACAGCTCGACGCTATATTCAGGAAGTAGTGGAGCCTCATCTTATTTCATACCTAAACACCATTCAAAATCCAGTTTCTCAGCCAAACAATGCCAGACCGCATATTAACAACAGGATATCGACCACCTCATCAGCACGATGCCCAGGCGTGTCAATGAGTGTATAAGAAATCGTAGATCCTCAACAGATTACTGAACCAGTTTCTGCAGTCAGTTGACGAATCGAGCTGATTTAATCATTTTACTAGTAAGAGAATAGAAGATATACGTATGCCAAAAACTATTAATATCGGATAAACATACGTAGGTGTTTACCTTCTTTTTGTTACCCATTATATATCAGGTATGCCTAACTAGTATAATCGATTAATTCACCATTTGCCGGTTGAACAAAAGATGTTAAAATCTCATTTTAGCTTTCAGCTATGTTATTGGTATATTAGGATTTGTTGTTAGGCTAGGGACAGCCACGGGAATGACAGACAAGCTTTGTCGCAGAAAAAATAGTACCTATTCAAAATTTTTGCCACAAGATAAACATACTACCAATAACTCAACACTTTATAACATAAGAAAACATTCAACAAATCCTTCCATTATATATATATATATATATTATATATATACTTTTATAAATAAGGGACATGAAGGTATTCAATATTCGTTCAACCACCCAACTCCTAAAACACGTGACGCGTTGTGTATATTTTGTTATTCTGCAGGTTGATATTTCATTAGGTCCATAATAAAGTGACTGATAGCACAATTTAAATTTTTATTACTTATAATAAACACAGGTTGTTTCAGAACTATGGAATCAAACTTGTAGGGGTTATTCAGTGTAACAGTAGAAACCGTTTGAGTATAGGGACCCATATCCAGAAAAGTGTTACTGCGGCACTACGGCCCTAAGACGCGTTAAAATTTAGAAAGACGATGAATTGCCTAAATAGGATTTAATGTATTTAATTTTTGCCTTTTGTACATTTGCAATTGCCCAAAATGTCTTCCTCCAACCTGAGTACACCGTTACTGTGGGGACATGTAAGGCCTTTGGTTTACGAAACCCCAGTAGAAACAGAGCAAGACTTAATTGGACGAATTACAGCAGCATTTGAAATCATTCAAAACGAGTATCAAATTTTTAGTCAAGTCCCCCTAAATCATGTGCGACGTTTAAATCGGTGTATTCAGGTTGGAGGAAGACATTTTGAACAATTGTTGTGATGATATCATGTACAAAACGCAAAAATTAAATGCATAAAATCCTATTTAGGCAATTAATCGTATTTCTAAATTTTAACGCGTCTTGGGGCCGTAGTGCTGTAGTGACACTTTTCCGGATATGGGTCCCTATAGTCAAATGTTTTCTACTGTTACACTGAATAACCGCTACAAGTTTGATCCGATAGTTTTTAAGCACCCTGTATAGAGGTAAAAGCTGTACACCCATACAAACAACAAGTTTAAGGATTTTATTTATATAATCATCAGCATCGTATAATCACAATTTACATTTAATAAATATTATTAACATTCATAATAAATATAAAGGTAAAGGTTGTACTCCAGTACAAACAACATTAAGCATTTGTTTATACACCAGTATCACAATCTACATTAAACAGTCATTAGCATTCATAATAGATACAAAGGTAAAGGGTGTACACCCATGTTAAGAACTTTTGTTTATAGTTTATATTTAAGTGATCAAACGAACTTACCTGTAAGTTATCTTCGATCTGAGGTCCTCGTCGAAGTAAATATTTAGATACATATCGTAGTACCCTCGTAGTAGTACCCAACCGCCACGATTTCAAAGCGCGTACGCAGAGAAGGAAAGGGGCGCGATGCCGCTTTCTTCCCTCTGGCCACCAATAAACTTTCATTTACTTCAATGCCAAGTTGTTGCAACAATTAGGTGATACATAGGGAAAGGGAACTGTTTACTTCGACGAGGACTTCAGATAATTACGATCGAACATCACTTACAGGTAAGTTCGTTTGATCATGTAATTATGCTCCGTCTTCGTCGAAGTAAATATTTAGAATACATATCGTAGATGTACAAAGCTAGTTACAACAACTTACTACTAAAGCTCTGCAATAGTAAACGATAAGTTGTACACAATTACACAAATTGTACGCAATGTATGTGTCAACTACAGGTACATTTCCATTTTAACAATTCAAGTTAAGGCTTCTAGCAACAGGTAATGTGACGTATCTGGTTCAAAAATTACCATCCATTTCATGGTTATGAGCAAATAACGTAATAACATAGTTATATTTAAGGTGTGGAGACTTGGTTCACCTTATATGCTGCTTGAGCAAAGCTATTGTTCGGCATAAGAGATTTGTGACGTACCTCAGTAAACGCACTCCAGCTCGCCGCGAGTCTGAGACTACTATAATTTAGCAGGCCTAGAGGAAGACGCATTTCATGTACTGTGAGTTGTCAATTGTGACACTCTCTGCTAAAACCGACTTCATCCATCTGGGAGCCGAGGCACCATGATAAAGTTACTGTACAGTGACAAATAAATACTTTGCTTAGATATTTGGGCGTAAAATACGGTAAAACCTAAGTGGTTGCCACATGAGTGACCCCAAGACATGCAAAAGCTGAGAAATCCCAATTTCAGTATTATTCAACCCAATCAGGATGTTGTCTGCTTCAATTAGTTTGCACACTCTGACCTGAGGTTAGAGCTAGCAGTGTTGCTGATTTCCTCATCCAAATATCTACAGAACTAACCAGCAACCCCTTTGGTTGGTTGAGAACAACCACAGTATCTATATTTCAGTTGACATGGCCTCAGCCTGTAAATGCCCTTCAAAAGCCATCTTATGTCTGCATCGTTAGTAAAATTTGGGTAAAAGACTGATAGCTCAAACAATTATATCTTGATCTCTTATCACCTTTCTCGCAACCTGGTCCATACGTGGAAACTAGAAACTCTCCATTCTATTGATGTAGGATGGGGTATAATATGCGACAGGCCATCAAGTCGGTAGCAAAGCATTCACCACAGAAGAAAACTACCAGTGGTTCTTGATAATTAGCATGCTGGACCTTCTCGGGTGACCAAAAACTAGACACTCCTCCCTGGCCAACGAATGTCCCAGTCTGAGAAATTATACAACTATGTTAAAAATTGGATAACTCAATACCTCTGACCGCATCTGCCAGTCTCTTTGAGCCCCAGCGGAGGTAGACCTTAAGTTATATTATGTTAGTGGCACAGTAGGGTTAAAATTCCCTAGAGAATTTTACCAGGCAAGAAACTTCACTCGTTAGTGTATAGTCGGTTGTAACGAAATAAAAGATAAGCGGACAACAAGATCCCGATATATTCATCGCAAAGTTTCGGACTATGTCTTGGTTGCTGTCCATTATTGCCCTTACTGGGTTTAGTGTCTGCATCGTTCGCTCAAGTAAAGTTACTTTCTTTCAGTCACAATTCAATACTGAGCCTGAAGGTGCTCAATTTTTTCTTAAGGTATTCAGAAAAGGTTTTATTAACTTTCTGAAAACACTTAAGAGGTATAATTTACCCTAAACGGTAGAGCTTTGAATTGGAAGAGCTGTCCTTTGAATATGAATCTGAAATATTCTTTTTACTGTTTTGATCACTTATGAGTAATTTGAATTTCTCTTTATTGATTATAGAGTGCCCATTCGTAGACCAAACCTTTTTAATGATTTTATTTTGTCAAATTCCATAGTTTATTGATTGTAGAATTTCTCACCTATTACATGTCATTCTCAGAGATTCAATGTTGTATTGAAATCTGTCTTCGATCTGAGAAATCTCCTCATAAAATATTGTTGGTCTCTCTTAGGCAGATTTGTTTCTACCGTCGTTCTGGATATTAACGCCCCAAGCACCAGTTTATGGCGTAGTACCCTTTAATCGTGTAGCTTACGTTTAGTTGTGTTGGTCAGGGTACTACCCCG